CCAGGGGGGATGGTCACGCCGCAATCCCTTCTCCTCCATTCTCCTCTCGGGATCTTGGGCACGTACGCACACACGCCCGGCGTGAGTTTTAAGCCACCGGGTCCGGGACGCGAACCGCGGTCGACTATGTGGGAGTCCAGCGACATAGCCATTACGCTAACTGCTGGTTCCCGAAACAACTGATTTTGACCCCTACCTCACACAACACAGAAAAATTAATTTAATAGGTTTCATATACCTAAGCATGAAAGATAAAATTATAAGGCTTTTAGAAAAACACTCTAAAAAATATTCTATTAGAATGTCTTTGCAACTTGGAAGGAGGTGATAGTTTCTTTATCACAACCCAGAAAGCAATGACCATAAAATTATGAAATGATAAATTAGACTCTATCGAAATTTAAATATTTTGAATATCAAAAGACACCATTCAAAAATAAACAGGCAAGCCACAGACTGAGAGAAAATATTTGCAAAATGTATTCTGACAAAGGGCTGGGACTTAGGATAGATAAAAAACTCTCACAACATAATAATAAAAGAAAAAATGGGCGGGGCTGGCAAGTAGCATGGTGGTTAAAGGTGCTGGATTCCCACATGGCCGACTATGGTTCAAGTCCCAGACCTGGTGGCTTGTTTTCTCAATTTCACACAACACAGAAAAATTAATTTAATAGGTTTCATATACCTAAGCATGAAAGATAAAATTATAAGGCTTTTAGAAAAACACTCTAAAAAATATTCTATTAGAATGTCTTTGCAACTTGGAAGGAGGTGATAGTTTCTTTATCACAACCCAGAAAGCAATGACCATAAAATTATGAAATGATAAATTAGACTCTATCGAAATTTAAATATTTTGAATATCAAAAGACACCATTCAAAAATAAACAGGCAAGCCACAGACTGAGAGAAAATATTTGCAAAATGTATTCTGACAAAGGGCTGGGACTTAGGATAGATAAAAAACTCTCACAACATAATAATAAAAGAAAAAATGGGCGGGGCTGGCAAGTAGCATGGTGGTTAAAGGTGCTGGATTCCCACATGGCCGACTATGGTTCAAGTCCCAGACCTGGTGGCTTGTTTTCTCAATTTCTCTCTCTCTCTCTCTCTCTCTCTCTCTCTGACTTTCTCTGGTCAAATTGAAATAAACAAATGAATAAATGAATAAAGTTAAGTAAAATAATTTAAAAAAGAAAAAGTGGGCAAAAGAACAAATTCTGCTCAATTGAACAAATTCTTGATATGAGATATACACAATACATGAAAAAAGACTGCTTAAAAATCATTAATTGTTATAGAAATGAAAAAATAAATAAAATGTCAGGAAGGTACTACACATACACACCAGAAAGACTAATATTTAACAGATCAACAGTACTAAAAGTTGCCAAAACGTGAAACCACTAAAACTCTTGTTCCAAATGATGAGATGTAAGATAGTACACCAATCTGAGAAAAGACCCACCCATTCTTATAAAACTAAGCATCGTCAACTAAATTACCCTAATCCCAACACTTGCATGACTTAATATTTACCTAGGAGAAATAATATAGTTCCACACACACACAAAAAGTATATAAGAATGTTCATAGTAACTTCATTCACTGCAGCCCAAAACATAAAATAGGATAGATGTACACCAACAGAACAAATAAACAAACCATGATATATTTGCAATAGAATACTACTCAATAATAAAAAGAAACGAACTACTGATTTTTTAAAAAAAGACAGCATGGATAAATCTCAAAGGTCTTTTTATGTTGACTGATAAAAGCCTGACACAAGAAAATATGAAGTCTATGCTTCCATTAATATGAAATTCTAGGAGAGGCAAAATCAATCTATGGTAGAAAAAGGGGCACGGCTGCCTCGAGAACTAGGGGGGCAATGTTGATTGAAAGTGGTGACCGCTGAGCTGAAATAAGCCAGCTGGGAGAACATTAGACTGAAACTAGGGAATGCTGGCATTTCCTCAGGTGAGATTAATGTTCTGTTCTAAGAGGGTGAGTTGCACAGGTTGTGCATTTTGGGGAATCACAATTGGTATACTTAAGGTGTGTGCATTGGATTATAAGCAAATTTTCCTTTGAAAATAAAATAAAAGCAATTGTAAACAAATATAGAACTTCAGTGAACAATATGCATGTTGAATTGTTCTGAGGAAATGTACAACTTCTGCAACTTTGGAGTGCACCAAAAAGAAAGATGGATAAATGAATGGATAGAAAGGATAGATGTGTGATTAAACATGTCAAATAAATGCAAACTGTAGACTCTAGATGGTGGAAATGATAGATATCACTCGAGAATTCTTTCAGCGTTTCTGTTATGTTTACTAGATTTTATCATTAAATACCGAGAGTAGGAAGACTTGCTTCTTGCACATGTCACAGGTTGCCAGCCTCTTGGACAAGTCACTTTGTTGCATTTTCTTCCCCAAAGCTAGAAGGTTGAGCCTGATGCTCTTGTACCTATTCCAGACCTGACATCCTATGTGCAGAAATGCATTCAGAGTTCCTGAACTGGGGGCCTAGGTAGCAGTAGTTCAGTCTCGTTATTTGCTTCAGACTCAGCCCTTCCCTACAGCTGGCCATTTGTGTAATTGTTAAGATGATTTCAGAACGTGGAGGGGCCAGCAGTGCGGGCACAGCAGTAATGGAACACTCCCAGGTTCTCATCCAGAGGTCTCCCTGTACCCGTGATCCAGGCTAGATGGTGGTATAAAATCCTACTGGGCCTGCTGTCTCCCTCTTTTCCTCTCTAATGGCAGAAGTAAAATAAAATTAAATAAAAACAAACCAAAGTTCATGTCAAAAAATAGAAGCTAATTTTTATCTGAGAATAAAAAAAGGAGATTTGGGGACCAGCAGATGGTGTGGTGGTTGAGGCACTGGACTCCCATGTGGTCAAGTGTAGTTTGAGTCCCAGACCTGGTGGTTTGCTTTCTCACTTTCCCTCTCTTTGTCTCTGTCTCTTTCTCTGGTCAAATTAAAACAAATAAAGGAATAAATAAAAATTAAATAATTCAAAATAAATAAAATGTATAGCCCAGCCTGCTGAGATGCTGTGTTCCCTCAGCTGGGACCATATGGGAGAGCTCAGTTTTTTTTCTGATCCAACCTAAAGACTAGGCACAACGACATGCATCTGTAGTCCTAGCAACTCAGGGAGGCTGGGGCAAGAAGATCAAGACAGTAAGATTCTGTTTTAGCAAAATAAATAAAATCCAAAATTGGGGCCAGCCCCTTAGCCTAACAGTTAAGGTAGCTGGATCCCACGTAGCCAACTAAGGTTCAAATCCCAACCGTGTTGGCTTGAAAAGCATGCTGGGCATGTATGTGTACATGACCAAGATCCTCACAGGATGGAGAAGAAATTGCAGCATAATCAGGTCCCTATCGCAAGGAGCTTTCACCCCTTCTCTGTCTGTCCCTCCCTGGCAATTGCATGCACCCTCTGGCAATTTTTTAAAAATGCAATTTCATTTTTGTTCAAAATGTCACTTCCTCAGGACTAGCAGATGGTATAATGGTTACATTGCTGGACTCCCACATAGTCAACCATGGTTTGAGTCCTGAACCAGAGGCTTAAAGCTCACGCCAGGTGCATGTGCATGTATGCCCAAAATCCCATGAGAAAAATGAAGAAGGGGTTGTGGTGTGGCCATTCCCCCAAGGGGTGATTTCTCAGTTTCTATCTGTCTCTCTGGTGAGCGCATGCTCCCTGTAGCAAAAATCTCTCTCTCTCTTAAAAAAAAAAAAAAAAAAAAGTCACTTCCTCTCTTCTTTCCCCAAGGATGGATTATGATGCAGTGGGATTGGGATCGGATCCAGGAAGCTGTAGTCCTCTCAAGCACCCCAGGTGACTTGGAGACTTGTGGTCCCAGGTCACATGGTCATCGACTAATTCGAAATTAAGAATAGCCCTGATCAAATTAAAATAAATGAATGACTAGAATCTGAAAGGTGGCATGGTGGTTAAGGTCGCTGGATTCCTACATGGCCAACCACGGTTTAAGCCATGGAATCAGTGGCTGCTTTCTCACTTTCCCTCTCTCTGTGTTGTTCTGTCTCTCTCTAGTCAGATTAAAATAACAAATAAAGTTTAATGACAATTTTAAAAATAAATGAATGAATAAATAAAATTAAATACATAATTGTTTAAAAAATGACGGGAGGGATACCAGCAGGTGGCATGGTGGTTAGGGTGCTAGACACTTCCACATGGTTGACCACTGTTTGAGTCCCAGACCTGGTGGCTTGCTTCTTCCTCTCTCCCTCTCCCATGTGTGTCTCTCTCTGGTCAAATTAAAAATAAATGAATGAGTAAATAAAATTACATAATCCTTTAAAATTTTTTTAAATACAAAGAAGTTAAGAATAGCCATCTGGCCCCTTTACCCATTTGCAGCCCCAAAAGATTTCCAGAACCAAGTTGTCTTTGGGATTTAGCGATCTGTACTGAGTTGTGATGAATGACAGAGACACTTAGTCATGTAGATTTAAAATCCCATATTTCTCAGGTGTCTGTGACCGTGGAACTCAGATGGTGTAGCCCAGTTCCTGGCTCCTCTGAGCAGTGACTGGAATGTCCTCTCTCTGTCCTTACGATCCTTTGTTCTATTCTTTAATCTTAGGATGGAAAGAGATGCCGCGTTTGCACAGAAAAAGGCAGAGAGGGCGTGCCTCCGAGTTCATCTCAGAGAGAAGTACAGACTCCCAAAGGTAAGATGCTCTGAACACATAGACATTCAATCATTTCTTTATTAATAAAAAGTGAAAATGCTTGATTTTCAACAAAGGATCATACTCATAAATACACACACACACACACACACACACACAAGCACGTCTTAACTGAGGCCTCTGATATAATGAAAAGAGTGCTGAGATCATTTATAAAAACTAGATTCCAGTCATCTAATGGCTATGAATTTCCGTTTCCACTCTAACAAACTGGAGTAAATAGTTATAGATGACTTTATTTGTATATAAACTTATCTAAAGAAGATAAACGTCTACATACACATAGGCAATAGGGTTGGTAAGCATGATTGATATTCACTGAGCTCCTTCTAGATGCCAGCCCTGTGCTTTGCACATAACAACTCATTTTTGGTCTGTTATCACTCTGCCTTGCAATAGGGGAAACAGGGGCACAAAGTAAGTCCCCTCCTGCCATTGGCCAGGCAGTAGGAAAGACAGCTCAAAGTCTTACTTTCTATGATACTCAGCTTCTACTTCAAAGGAATGGCCTGGGTGTGTGTGGAGACGAGGCAGCAGTGACCGGCATCACCCAGCTCTTCTCCAACTCCATTTTGGCTGAGGACAGCTGTCCGTAAGCTCTAGGGCCGAGTAAGCAGCACATTGACTGGTGGTAAGAGGATGTGATGACCTATTATGGCACATGGCTTGAAAGTACTCTTCCAGGGCTCATATCCAGTGGTGATGGAGAGGCCAACACTTTCTATAGACTCTGCTCATCTCCTCTGTCCCCCTACTCTCACTCCAGCTTGGGGGACCACCCAGCCACTCTACAAAATTCCACCTTCACCTTCTGGGTTGGGTGTCCAACCCACCTTCCCTTATAGAACATCTTCCACCTGGAGAAGCCAAAGAAAAAGGTCCTTCCAAAGTATGTGATCCTCTTCTGTACAGGCCACTTCCAGGTCTCAGTGGTATAGGATAGCAGTCCTCAAGGAACCAGGGACTGGTTTTATAGAAGACAATTTTTCCATGGGTGGTAGGGGGATGTTTATGAGCGCACACAACTTAGATCCCCCACATGCGCAGTTTGCAATGGGGTTCATGCTCCTACGAGAATATAACCGTGGTGCTGATCCAACAGGGGGTGGAGCTCAACCGCAATGTGAGCAATGGGGAGCGGTTGTAAAGCAAACGAAGTTTGCTCCCTCGCTCGCTGCTCACCTCTTGCTGTGCAGTTCCTAATAGGCCATGGACTGGTAAAGTGGGGTTGGGAACTCCTGGTTGAGAATGTCCTGAAACCACCTCCTTCAATGGGGTCCCTAGAGATCCCTGGAAAGCTGACTTCAGAAACCATAAACACTAAAATCAGAGAGCCCACCATCCCTACTAGGTCACTGCTGAAACCACCAGAGTTAAACATCCAACCTGTTCAAGGTCTGGTTGCTAAGACACCCAGGAAACTCCGCATCTGCTCTCAGAGAGGGGAGGAACATACACAACAAAATCTAAATTTATTTTCATTTGTAACCAGTGAGTTTGGAAAAGAATG